GAGGTCTATTAACACAGCTCTTCGCCCTTGCCTGATCTAAGAACTTCTTTCTCAATCTTGGCTCTTCAGATTGTCTCCTCTTTGGCTGTTTTTTTGGCCATCTCTCCTTTTTAACATTGCGTGGCGTTCAGCACGTAGGCCAGGGGTGTCCAGGCTTTTATTCCAACAAAGTAGATGCACGCATGTAGGTGTTGAAGACTGAGACCATCTGATTAAACGAGTGTGTGTACCCCTGCTTCTTTGGACGTGAAACCTGCTTCCACTCCACCGCTTTGCGGATAAGATCGGGCACCCCTAACATAGCCCCTTCCCTTCTCCCTGTCATTTGCATGAGCATGAATGTTGCTGATTGGCTAGAATAGTGTAGTGTTTCTCGTCCTGAGCCACTTTGCTTATTATTCAGTAACTATAGGGACTTCAATGCAAACTGGCTGAGCTACTCTTAGGTTACAGAAGTGTTCAATAAAACTTTGGGTCCTGGCCATTTAAGACATTAAAGTGCTTTTGGTGGATTTTTACACAACACTAACCCCCAGTTTAGTCAGTGCCAGCTCCCACCCATAACTTATGACCCCCCTGTAGCACAGTGCTCCTTAAGTGTGGAAGGCTCCTGATCACAGAGGGCCGAAGCATTACATCGCAAAATGTAATAAATCTTGTAAGACAGAAGCCTGACAACAAATTTAAAAGTTATTCCAGTTGTTATAATATCTTGAAGAACAGATTATATTAGGAAGGCTTGTGTGGTGGCACAGATCAGCTGTTCATGACTGCAGTCACACAGTTCTCCTTAACAGAACCTGTACCACTGTACTTATACTTAAGTAGAAATATGAGCCATGAGAGGCCATGCATTACTGCGATTTTATCATGGGGAAGTGTGTTCTAAAACTCCCTTTCCTGTAATAAAATTGCAGTAATGCACAGCCTCAGGTGGGTTTTGCTTTTATAAAAGGGTGGCCAACATAAAATATGATAAAATACACAACTTTTCAGAAAATATTTTTTTATTAATAATAATCGACATAAATACGTTTTCCACCAAGAAATTTAGTTCCTTTAGAGTACGATATTGTTGCCAAGCAACCATGGACCGCTGAATGAGGAGACCATTCGGTCACCCATCACTGTACTACAGTCATTTCATAAATATTTTAACGTTTTGTCATATAACAATGAACATATGATAACACAGCATTTTTAATGCAAAAACCTTCGCTTTATAAGTACTTTTTGGTCACCAGATTACCACTACAAGTCTTATTTAGCACCAATCCAGCGGCGCCCCTCCTCTCACACTGGGGCTGAATCTCAAATGTCTCTCTGCTCCCTACATAGTGCACTATATAGGAATTGAAACACTGGATCCTGCAGCCCAATGGTGCAAAATACAGCTAAGAAATAGTCATTTGGGACTCAACCACATCCACACTCGATAAATGATGCACTGTTTGGCTGAAGGGGCTAGAATTTCCAAACTTTCATAGCTAGCACACTATTTAGGGCATACAGAGCCATTTGGGATTCAGCCTGTGTTTGATGCTACTTGCCATGTGAAGTGTGTAAGTCATTAAGGGGAGATTGTTTAGCCTTTCATACTGCCGCTTTACAGTTAAACATATTGTAAGTACTTTAGTTCAAGCCAGTGACGGTAATGATGGAGTGGTTTAGGCTGTTAGCTATCTCTTAGCCTGTTAGCTAGCTGACCAGCCTAGTTCTAGTTAAGAAAATAAGTTGCCAGTCCCTCAGTTTAACCAAAAAATGGGTTCTTACTTCATCAATATACTCAGTGGTCAATGTGAGCAGCATTACAGAGATTATTCTATCAACAGCACAAGGATTTTTCATGACGTGGCGCAGTGATACAGAATTATTGTGAGGCGGTCACAGGTGTGCATATATCATATATTTTACAGTGGCTGTGAACGCAGTCAGATTGTAGGACGCAGTCAGATTGTAGGACCGGATCTGTTTCATTATTAATATTTAACCCCATACAAACCCGTTTTTTATTACACTTCTATAAAGAAAAGCTCCATTAGTTTGCATTGAAGTCTGTGTAGTCAATGAATAATAAGCCTTAGTACGTAATAAGTCTGGAATGTGTTCCTACTTCTGTGAAATAATGACTGAAGTAAAAGTAAAAGTACCTTCCCAATAGAAAAACAACTTATAGAAGTACAAAAGTAGCGGCTAAAAAAATAATTTAAATACTGAGTAAATTTGCAGTGGAACTTTCAATAGAGAAACCATGTTTTGTTCTACTCTATTAACCTCTTTTTATGCACTCTTAGTCTAAATTAAAATGATAAACATCAAAGGTAACAGGTGTGTCCGTTCACAAAGCAGCACAGATGCTCTCACTAACTGAACAGATTTAAATTAGTAACTGAAAGGCAATGAAAGTGAAGGTCAGTGAAGTTAATTAAAAGATATTATCATTTGAAAAAACTCTGGAAAGCACAAATCCATAAAAAAACACTTGAGTACATGAAACTGACTAAAACAACTTGTTCTTATTCACCTCTGATGACCAGCAAACAGCATAAAAAATCTTTCACAGATGGAGCAAAGTGGGTTTACTTGAAAAAGAATCTTTTTCCACAAAGGCTTTGAGTTTTGATGTGAGAACATTTCAGACCATGAGGAGATTTTGGCTTCATCCAGACCAGCAGTCATTTCTGAGTTTCTGATACTATATTGATGATGACTTGTTTGTTTTTTTTTGTGCTGTATCACAACATTCCTGTTTGTTCTTGTCTGTCTCTCCATTTGCCTGTT